CTTAAAGCACTTGTTGCAGGCTGCTGAGTTTGCATCTTTCGCTGTGAAGTACAGCCAGACTTTTGACCGCTTCGCCTTGGGCATTTTTAATCTGTAGCTCTGCTCTAAAAGAACGTACATACCTGGACCCGCCTACTATCCTTGCAAAGGTCAAATGATTGGCTAGAATCTAAAGTGTGTGACATCTCAAGAAAAAAAAAAAAAGCACCAAAATGTGCGCTGCTTTTCGGTCTGGTTACTACCGTTTATGTCAGAACTGGTGCCATACATCCCTATTTAGCAGTGATCGAACTTTCAAAATAAGAGCACAGGGATCATGAAGTCATGGAGTGTGAACTTGTCTCAGTGTCTCAGATGGATAAAAAACAAAAACAAAACAGAAATCAAAAATGAGCTGCCAAATATACTGCGGGAGCCACTAATAAACCTGCAAACTAAAGTGTGTGAGTGGGGAACACTGAAATACATGAGTAAAGTACATTAAGATAAAATTAAGCAGTGTATTAAATAGTTGTAGTAGTTTTTAAAAGAATTTAAAGTATTTTAAAGACGGTATTTCTATTTTCTTCAGTACAGCTGAAGAGCAGATAGAAAAGATTTGTGGGTTTCCTGCCTTCCCGTGCAGAGTCTTTCTTCCACTGAAGAAATACATTTGTTCCCCATGCTGACAGATAAACTCTGTTTAACATTTAGATCTACCTTCAAACATGACTGTGGAGGTGGTGTGAACATGTAACTCAGTGGGTCTGGGGAGGCACGAGTTTTGTTTAAGAAAGGACTCTGAACGTCCTGCCGTCGAGGGGTGACACCATCAGCCGTGCTGAGCCCGGGGAGTGGAGGGGGCGCCACTTGTTCCTCCAGAGCACCGTGAAGAATCTGGACACGAAAAGGATGCACGCCAGGACCAACAGCACAACTGCAGAGAGAAAACAAGCAGGGCAGCTGGTGGTTAGGTCGGCCAAGGCTGGACATTAAATTAACTGAACTCCTCTCTGCCTCTGTTCACTGAATAAACTGATGATTCTTGTGACACAAGTTTATTATATTTGTGTTTCAGGGGTGACAAAAACAGATTCACTATTTTATAAAGTTTACACATTTCTAGTAGTTCATAAGCAGCATTTCAGTGGAGAAAGCAGCTTTTCCATGCATGAAACACCCGTATAATATTCAAATGGAACAGAATCCCCAAACCAAACAAAACAAAAAATACTGGCTCATTAATAATTATTATTGATAAATAAGTATTGCTGAACTCACCCATAAAGATGGCGTTTGGAGTGGGATCGGCTGGGTTGAAGTGCTTGTAGACGTTTCCGACCAGAGCCATGATCACCACCGGGTAGATTGTGAGGATGTTGCGCACCCAGCGGTCCAGCACCCAGTTCTCCAGAATGAACCTGCCATCATCAAACAGCTGAGACTGAAGCACAGTGCTCACACGACATTTCACCTCACCTACTATCGCTGCTTTTATAAGAAAGCTCAATATGGACTGCAAAACGTCTTTACTTTGTAAATTCTAAAAACGCTAAACCAAACTGGCTCATATTATCCATCTATGCACCGGCCAATGATCAGTGAAATCCAAAAAAAAGAAAGAAACAGAATACATTACAAGTTTACTGTGTAGCACTATAATAATGTCACACTATTAAGCATTAGTAAGTGGTTAATTCATCATTTTTATATATAAGTGTTTCTGTTTACTGTTGAAACAAACTGTTTGGAGATTCTCTGACAGACTTTTATTCAGTTATGCGTGTCGTTCTTACACCAGTGTTTTGGGTTTTTTAGAGTCACAAAAGATGGAGGGAGATCACATAATTTAAGTGGCTTCTTAAGGGTGAATTTTAGGGCAAAGCAAACCTTTGCTTTCGTTTAAAAAAAAAAAAAAAATCAGATTTAACTGGTGAATCTATATTTGACTTTCTTCTGTCTCCCTGATCATAGAAATTATCTTCAAGGTAATTTCTTGTTAGCTCCCACATCCCTGTGCCTGAACCTCATCCAATCAGAGCTTACCATGCTATCACCTCTGCAAACAGGATGCACAGTGACGCAGTTGCTGCCGTGCTCTTATCCACACCCCACAGGTGGAGAACTACAGAGAAATTGATCAGAGAGGCGATAGAAGTCCATGTAGTGTAGACAGCCAAACCATTTTGGACCTGAAAAAAAGAAAATGAGACAAATAGTATCTTACTATTGCCTTCTGGGGACAGAGCTGACACTCATCTAACAAGTATTTGCCCCCTTCCTAATTTCTTTTTTTTAAAACATATTTGCCATGGGTATTTTAATATAAACATTTGTCTGATGATCTGAAACACTAAAGTGTGACGAATATGCAAAGATCAAAGAAATTTTCACACTGTGTCCTACCAGTACTCTGAGAAAGGTCAGGTCTTTGCGATGGTATGTCTGTAACCAGAGTCCGTAGTAATCTGTGGCAAAGCAACAGAAGAACAGAGCGCTGTAGCCGGAAACCGCTATCAGGATTAAAACGACCAAAGACGCAAGAACCATCCTGGAAGACAGAGAAACAGAAAGAAACAATGAATGCAATAAATAGGGGGCAGAAACGGCTCTGTAGGTAGAGTGGTGACCCCATGATCAGAAGGTTGGGAGTTCAAGTCCACTGAACGGCTACCCTGAGCAAGGTGCTGTCCCTACACACTGCTCACCAGGCACTGGATTGGTGGCTGCCCACTGCTTAACTGAGTGAATGTGATTAATAAAGTACAGATTATTAAGTCACAAGGTCAGACATTAGAGACACAGAGCTGACAAAGGGGCAACAATTCCTTTTGTTATTAACTGAATGGTGCGTCCGCATTGTAGTAACTGAACATAATTTACCACATTGCAATTGCATGTTCATTATTTGCATATTCATATTATTTATACTGCATTTTGGTCATTCTTATTTCATGCACTACTCATTATTCACAAACTAACATAAATGCTTCCATTCACAAAGATCTCAAAGGATATTTATTTGCCTTTCTGCAGCTATGCATAGTCACCTTGATATTTAGCATACTTTGGCACAGCTATCAGTATGATTCTTTGCACATCCATAATAAATCTTAATCACTAAGTGTGGTGATTTATTGAAACGTGCATGCATACAGTCTGTACATTTCTAATGAGCCTTAAAAGCAATGTCTGTTATGGCCATTGGCCATCTTTAATCTTCGTGTTTAAGGATACTCAAATCTCTTTGGATGTTTCTGACTTTTGTTCGGTTCTCTGTCCAGATGATTCCACACTGCTTCAGTAATGTTGACATCCAGGCTCTAGGCAGGCCAATCTGTGGGTTTTTCCTATTCAGGTATGTTTTTAATCTACTGGGAGTGTGTTTCAGATTCTTTCCATGATGAAAAATCAAGTCGTTGCCAATGACATGATTTTTTTTGGATGGTATTACTTGATGGATCAAAATCTGCACATTGTGAACACATTTCTACGTTCACAATTCCATCAATTTGGAAAAGATTCCCAGCACCACCGGCTTAAATGAAGCCCCAAACCATAATAGAGATTACAGGTGGCTGTACACACTCATTGTTATACCTCTCTCCTGTCCTCCTCCATACATATTGATAATGAACTGAACCAAAAACTTGGATACAAGTTTGGATTTGGATTCACCACTCCATCAGACCAGTTCAGACCAGTTCTTGTGAAATCTGGCATATGTCATCCTTCTCTTCCTTTCATAAGAATGGCTTCTTGGCAGCCACTCTTCCACTGAGACCATTTCTGATGAGGCTTCAGCAAACAGTGGCTGAGTCAACTGAAGGGGTAGATGCATGTCTACTGTGCAAAAGGCTTTTGTCAGTACTGTATGTTTATTGCAAGTACCGCTGTGCCACATGAGAACTAAGAAACGGGAGAACTATTTTATTATGTTTTCTTCTCTGTGGTGGCTGGAACAGCACATCATTTCATGCTGCACTGCACTGACTATTGTTTTGTTAGTATTCACAGTATAGGATGATCATCCTAAATTGTCCTGTCTGAATTTTTGTTTGGTCGCCAAGTGTTACAAAGTCCGATACAGAGGAACCACTGTTTTGGAGCCATCATCAAAGATATAACTTCTGTTCTGGCTCAAACAAGTTCCAGTTATTTGCATGACTCAGTCTGGATGAACAGCTCGTCCTACAAGTGCTCGAGCTCTGCTAGTAACACATGTGGAATTTATTCCAGTCTTCACAGACACACCCGGTCTGGAACCATTATTTGTTTTTCCAAGAGCACAACGAGCCAAAACACACCTGCGAGGTCTAACCCACCAGCAGGGTGATGAGAGTGTATCAGATGAACTTGAGTGCAGAGAGACGCACAAGTGAGAAAAAACAAGTGTTCAGCATATGTGAGAACTACTTCAGGAATGTTGAAAAAGCTTCAGTTTACGACCTCATGAAGCTCCTGGAACAATTTAAACCATGTGCTGCTCTTGCTAAACCTTTTTCTCTTTAACTAAACTTTAACTCCAGGGTCCATTCCTTTTTATTATGTCTCTGATACGACCACATGTATAATTTAACAGTCTTGAAGTTTTCAATTTTGTACTGTGCTGCAGAAAAATAGTAAAAACAAATTAAACTCCTAGTAAGCAGAACCCAGCCAGGGTGGAGCCAAAAGCCACAAATGGATAACTGCTGAGGTACATTAGGAAAGACATGCAGTGTTAAATCAAATATGTAGAATAAGATATTCATACTGGATGGGCTGGAGCTCTTGTAAACAGCAGACAATCTATCAGCTGATATTAGCCATCCAACAATAAATCAGTAATGGCATATGTGAGCATCTTAAAAGTAAATGCGAGACAGGAGACACAAAAGTTCAACTACATTATGCGTGTTATGAGTTTGTTCACCACACTCTGCAACTTCCCTGTTAGGAATGCCACAAACATAACAGCTAGCTGCTCCAAGCAGACTCAGGCAGTGTGGAAATGAGTAATCTATGACTTAGTGCGGCGACAACACAAGATCACACCCGTATTGTCATATCATATTAAGGTAAGGACTCATTGGATTTTTAAAATCACAAAATATTGATATTTGTCTAACAAAAAAATCCTAAATCAATCGGGTTATAGCAGATATATGGTGTGTGCGACAAATTGAAAGAGAAGCAAAGACAAGAGCACAGGAGACTCTGAGCGGTAACCTGCTGCACATCCTTTCCAGCTCAATCTCTGACTAAGGTGATTAAGGATAGAGATGGAAATGTACTAATGAGTGAAGTGAATGTTGTGAGAAGATAGAAAAGTACTCTGAGGAGTGCATAAATGAAGAAAATAACAGAGAGAGAAGAGAACAGATGAAAAGTTAGTGATTCATGAATGCATATTTAGTAGGGAGGAAGTGAAGGCAGCTATGTAGAGGGTGAAGAGTGGATAGGCAGTCAAGCACTTTGGAGACAAATATAGAGAGACAAGGACATTTATAGAAGAAGGATTGTGGATATGTTGGATAAAGGATGTTGAATATGGATCTAGGGACTCTGGCGACAGGGTGAGATAAGAGGTGGATGTGGTGACCCGTAAAGGGAGCAGCCAAAAGAAGCATAAGAACAGGTAGTAGTAAATAAAATGAAGACATACTCTGCGTCCCACAGCAGGAGCCATATAATGTTCAGCACCATGTTGGAGAGCCAGCAAATATGGAAGCCGTAGGGCAGCAGACACTGAGCCCAGGATCTATTAAGAGAGAGAGAAATATCAGTTTCATCCTGTGTGTTTAGATTTAGTCCAGCTGTTTTGATGCTAGCTTACCCTCTGCATGTGTATGAAGTGATATAAATCACCATCAGGGTGAGCCAGGTATAGATAACGCCCCAGATGGAGAAGGTCCAGCCAGCTGGAGTGATGCCTGTCTCATAGCGGGCTGATACATTTCCTGTAGAAGTATGAAAGGGAGCTGGAAAACAGACAGAGAATAAACAAATGTGCACTGGTGGAGTTTGCATTCCAGTTCCAGCTGGTTTGTTTACAGGGGCGACAAAGCAGCAAACACAAAGATGGAAGAAAACTGATGTGATGTGACTAGATGTTACAGGGGGAAATGCAGAAAAACAGAACTACTTCAGCTGGATTAAAGAGAAATGTGTCAGATCAGCAGGGTTACTGCTTACTGACTGATGAACTTCTACCCATCTTTACGTCTGAGAAACCCAGTCATGTTACAGACTTGTTTCCAATCAAACAGTTAGTTGCAAAATGTTCCTCCAGTTTTTTTGGTTTTTTTTGGTACCACTTACTTTTCCAAACTTTTATTTACTTGTTCCAACTTTTTGGGACTATGTTTGTTAAATTCGCAACATCTTAAATGCGAAGTAAACAAAAGAAAGTCCTCATTTTGTTTGTAGATGTTCCCTTTGAGCCTTTTAGAACTACTCAAACATAAAGACCTTTATTAAGTAGTAAAATCACTGATGAAAAATAAGCTACAACAGAAAAAACTGACCTTTACTTCGTCATTTTGAAAGCATCACAGAATTCTGAGAACGGCTCTCCTACTTTTTAAAAAGTACCTCACAGGAAAAGGTCTTAGGTTAACAGGGAGACAATGTTCAGGTATATACAACTTCCTAAGTCTTAGTTTAGTTAGTTTAAAGGCTCAGTTGCTGCAGCCCTTACAGTGTTTTCTCCACCAACTGGTACTCCTAAGCAGAACTCAAACTTAAAGCAGATGCAGAGCTGCTGCCATGTCCTGCCACAGTGAGGCTCGAGAGCAGAACAAGGAGTACAAGAGGCTTGCTGCAGTCCAAGATGGAGGAGATTCGCTTCAGGAGCAGCTGATTATTATGCTCAGTTATGCGTCAGTCACAAAAAGGCTTGGCAAACACATATGCATTCAATTCATATAACAAAGTGTGTGTTCCTCCTTTTGATGCGTGCACACATAACAACCTCCTGCCATAACAAAATCTAAATCTGTCCTAAACACTGTGACTTCTGGGTGCTCCACTTTCCTCCCACGGTCCAAAGACATGACTGTAAGAGGCAAGGCTGTAGGTGTCAACATGAATGTGGACGATCGTTTCTCTGTGACGGACTGGTGACCTATGCAGGGTCACCTCTCCTAGGTATAAACATCAATGTGTCCTAATTATGAGGACTATTTTTCGTTTCCATTAATGTAATGCACTTCTACTTTAGCAAGCAGACTTAAATTTAACGTGTACGTTTTAAACTACCTCTTTGTCTCAAGCTCACTGTTTCTCTGCTGCAGAGTAGCTCTTACACTTTTTACATGAATCACAGTGCGTGCTGCTCCTAAAAGATCTCTAACATAATGACTTAATATCTATCATTACATAAAACAAATTGATCACAGTAAAAACTGTGATTAAAATAGAAAAAAGTGGATACACTGTTACTATTTGCCAGCTCACTGAGGAAGGAAATGAGTCTTATCCATGTGGGAGCCCAGCGGAGCATTTCCTCGGCCACACCCTGAATATATATATAAAAATAAATAAATCACTGTTGGATCTTTCCCGTCCAGCAGAACCAGTGGGCGGAGGGATACCACAGTCACTATTCCTACACTTCACTTAGACTATTTATTAGGATAAAATAATAAAAACTTCGTACTAATAACTGGTTAATTTGAGCCCCCTCTCAAAACTATAACAAACTCTGGGAAGTTTGTGAGCTGTGTTATTGTTACTCCTGCCAGTTAGCAGTACCAGCTATGTAAATGCGCAGTCCTGGAAATGACGGCTCACTGGTTTGTGTAACATGCGTTGGTGACATAACAGCTGCAGTAAACAGTTAACAAAACTTCTGAAAACACAGCTTTTGTGAAGGCAGAAAACTAAAACCAGAAATAAAACACCGAGAATGTACTACCGTGTGCAGTTTTAACAGTCTTGCAGTTTTGTTTTTAATCTTTTTCTAGCTCTGTGAAACTCACTTCTTGAACAGCGATATTTCACCTACCTTTGCCCGCTCCGGCCAAAGCGTTAAAGATTAAAACGGCAACAAAAACCACCGCACACAGGATTATGACGAGAATCCGCAGAATATTGACGTCCTTCATTTTGTCTTTCTCGCTGCTTCGTGTCTCGGTGTGTCCTCTTCAACTGTCAGGGAGCGGCGGACAGAGCTAAACGGACCCGAACGTGACGCCTTCACGTGCTCCACGTAAACGCCCACAGCCTTAGAGGGAAAAAAGGAGAAGAAGAAATGCAAATGTGTTGTGCTCATGTTTCAACACAGGTAAACCTTGACTTATATATTCATGTAAATGTTATCGATAGGTTAAACTTAAGTAACTGCATCGTAGTATAATATATAATTACATATATGAGAACATGCAGTGTAATGGCGTCCTCTTCAGGCAGACCGTGAACATGATCCAGCTTATTTCATGCAGTCTGTTGAGCATGTTTCACAACTTAATTGAAGTTTAAAAGTTGTTCAACAGCATTTTTAGATACATAGTGTGACACATAGTGTCCGTTGAACTGGTTGATAACAAAATAGCGAATTTCCCCCTCATATTTACATCCCATCATATAACAAATAACGTTTATTGATTTTGTTCTGATACGCTTAGTCAGAGGCATGGTGCAAGGTTGTGCATCTGCTCACATCATTCACAATCTGTCTAACCTGAACAGTATTTCCATCAGCACGTCGGAGGAAACAGTAACAAAACAGTGGGATCTGCACGTGTTAGTAATTACATTAAACAGCGAAAACAATAAGTAAACAACTGCAAACTTCTAAATATAAATCTGTTTAAAATAACAATTCCTGACATTAGCATTAGTTGAGAACAGATTTTAATGTGATTTCAATATAAATTAAAAGATATAAATGAATTTAAGAGCTTTTTAAAGAATGAATAGATGGTAAATCGATGTAATGTTTGAGTCTATCCCTCTGTCTCTAGCCCACTGTTGCTCTGCTGAACAGAGCCGCTCTTACTCACCACACTAAATGTTTGGCAGGGAGCAGTTCTAGAAAAAGCTACAGGCTTATAATCGGTCCTTTTGAGTCCCCTTTTATAACCGAGCACCACGGGGAAGTAAGTGACTCACGCCAGTTACCAGAAGCAGCTACGTAACAAATGCGTAGTCCTGGAAATGACAGCTCATTGCTTTGTGTAACATAGCTAGGTGACATAACAGCTGCAGTACGCGGTTATAAAAGCTATGAAAATACAATTTTTGTGAAAATGCATCTTTTAGTGATGTTCGCCAGATTCCCACTGAGTTCCTGTTAAGGGCTCGAGCCCCTAGTGTCCAGTCATTCCAGTATCCATGTGTGTGGGTACTGAGTCGTGTTATCATGAACTATCCCACTACTGCTAGCGTTGCCCTGAGGCAACAAACCACATTTCCATGCCTCACACTGGCCCTTCAAAATAAACAAACTTTTTTTTTTTTTCAAATAATGCTACGAGGCACATCTCTTTCCAATAAAATGATGAGTTGAAGGTGGTGACTTTAAGTTTGGGGGAGGGACCCCTTTCTGCAAGATGAGACATCTCCATTAGGAGGTAAGATAAAGATCACTATTCTACATGTTTAAAGTGAAATAAATGTATATAAAAATACTTGTTTGTGCATTAATATGTTAATAAGTATATTTGATTGTTTGTTCTACTTTTTGAAATTTATTTATACAGTAAAACTGTTAATTTTCACTTGTTGCCTCAAGGCAACACTGTGTAGTTAGCCTAATTTTTTCAGGCAATATAATGCATTAGCATATGTGTGTAGAGCTGTGTTTGTGTGCATTTATATGATCATAGCCAATGTTTTTTACTTTTACTTTACTTTTTTTTTGAGGGACACAGGCGGTCAGGGGTCAGTTGGTAAAGTAATTGTGTGTGTGTGACGTGTATTACTTATTGTTGTGGGGACACAAATCTGTTTACACACTCACATTGTGAGGTCTCGCTTACTTTATGGGGACAAATTGCAAGGTAAATCATTACATTTTAGGGTGAAGGCTTGAGTCAGGGTTAGGTTCAGGCAGGGACTTGTGATGTGTAGGCTCAGAATAAGTCTCCAGGAAATGAATGTAAGTTAATGTAATGTCCCCAAAAGTGATGGAAACACATTGTGTGTGTGTGTGCGTGTGTGTGCATGGGTTAGGGTCAAATGTTGGATGTACTTTGGTGTTTTATTGTTCTGTGAAATGTTTACATTGTTTATTTATTGTTTGTTTATTTGTTCATCCTTGTTGTACTAATAAAACATATTATAGAATAACTTGGTGTTTGACTACCCTTGTCACACAGTGTTGCCTTGAAGCAACAAACCAAAATAAGTAAAAACATTACGTATAAAAACACAAGGAAACATCAGAAATCAGTTTCTAGCAGATGATCAGCAACTGGTTCATTTGTGCTGCCATGTGCAGTTAGCTTCTTCAGCCAGTAGGTGTGAATCATGTCTGGCTCTGGTGCTGTCCAACTCTTCATACTTAATACGATCTGTCTGTCTACACAGGTCTGTCTGCACTGAGGACACCTGTAGGTTTCAGTCTGATCCTTTTCATCCCAGTAGCTTTTAATACAGTTCATACAGTAGTTGTGTCCACAGGGAATAGTCACCGGGTCCTTCAGGAGAAACACTCAAACATATTGAACAGCAGAATTTGTTCTGATCCAAACGAATAGTTAGCGCTGACATTTCACCTCTCAGAAACACGGAGTGCAAGAAACTTTTTCACCGAGAGGAAAGAGCAAGTGGATTTTCAGGTCATGGCTGATACCTATGAGAGGAATAGTTTGAGTGGTGATAAAACTGAAAGCACATTTTGTTTTCCATTTTTCAGGTTGCAGCTTGTCATGCATCAATAAACCAATACCATTTGTTCTGACTCAATAATAGTGAATAATAGTATAACCTTCCAGCAGCCATGTCTTCGTGGTGTTACTACTACTAAAAGAAATCAAGACTGACGCACGTGCCTTTGAAAAAGGATCGTGTTTTATTTACAGAGGTTCCATCAGAATTAAAATACAAATGATTTATAGACTCCACAGGTGGAGCATTCATTCAGAGCTCGAGGAGGACAGTTGGAGGCCCTGTGTGTTTGTATGTGTTTGTATGTGAGCATCATGTGTGTGTGACAGCTTTGGCAGAGAGGGGGAAAGTCCTTGGATGCATCTTCAGCCTCCTCCTCATCCTCCCCTTCGTTCTCCTGCTCAGTGACTCTCGCCTTTCTTCCCTACGACCTGCGTGGGGACAAAACATGGGTGAGTGTCAAACACTGCTCTACACAAATGAGCACAGGCTGCTGCAGCTGCTCCTCACCCTTTTGAAATCGTTCATGTTAGTGGCCTGCACCGGAGTGCCTATGAATGTCAGGTAGTTGATTTTTGTCGTCTCCTCGTCTCCTTGGTTTGACTTAATGAACAACTGAAGTGGAAAAAAACAAGAAAATGCATTTAACAATTCAACAAAAACACACAAAAATGTTTTTCTTTAACTGTTCATTGATTCTGCCAGCGTGCAATGTGTCCATAGGGCGACCCTTCCCAAGCTACTTCTCCAAATTCCTCCAAGAGGGAAGTCTTTTTCCTATAACTCCTATAATTTTGGTGACCATCCCACAAATAAACCTCTAAAAGCTTTCCCCCCCACCTACAGGATTTACTTCTATTGTATATACTTGTGCATTTTTGCCGTTTGCATCATGGCCTCTTCTGCTGCTCATTAACAACCTTCTTAAAATACATTTCTAATGCATTACGATCTAACCGCAGTAATGTTTCAGAGGTACTGTTGGTAGTCGGGTCCTTACTGTAACACTCTGTACGTTCTGAAACTTGACGTAGCGCAGAGGAATCAAACCGTCTTCTTTGTAATCTTCCTCAGACAGCTCCAGAGTCTGAGTGGCTTCGCTCCGCTCTGCATCGTCGAACCCCATCGACCGAGGGAGATTGATAAACACCTTCACCACCTTAGGGGCTTGGGCTGACAGAGAGTGAAAAATAAAGAAAAAATGAGACACAGAAGGAAGAAGATGATTTTTTTACCATTTGGAAACTGACAAAGTTCATATCAGCGCCTCCAGATACTCCAGAGGCTGTGATTAATGTCAGCAGGAGAAACACTCACCGAAGTCTGAGGACAGTAGTTTCATAGAGAAGAGCTTCACAGGCTGATTGAAGGCGATCGTTATCAACAACTGGACAAGATTTAAAAAGGAAAACATCCATCAGGTTGATGCTCCACATATAACAAAGTTTATTAAGGAGGTAAACAGAATGAGAGCAGACTAAGGATTTCAGTTAGTTTTAGCTTTGTTTCAGTTTCCTGAACAAACCTGAGAGTTTCAGTTTATTTTGTATTGTTTGAAAATGTCTAAATGTCGAGTCTGTTAGCTTTAGACATTATGATATGGGTGGGATTTGTTAAATCAATAAATATAATCAGCAAAGCCTCTCGTGCTGGTTATGTTGTCTGAAATGAAGATATTTGTTGTATATTTTTGTTTCATTTTTTAAATGCACAATACGTTTTAGCTAGTTTACATTCCTGTTTAAAAGTGTCATGAACATAAAGAGAAAAAAATCTAAATTCAGGGTCATTAAAACCATATGCTAAAAATTTCTCTCTTGAGTATTCAGGAGACAAATATTAGAAAGAATAAGAAAAAACAATTATCAGGAACACCACCAAGTATCATGATTACCCAGATATTTTATATGAGGATAAACCCCTGAAAATGTATCGTCACATTTTAAGAGGCCCAAACAAATTAAACATGTTTTTAAGAGACAACTCATCTATTAGGCATTCTCAATGTGAAACCAGCTTCTTTGCGGAAATAACATCCAGGCTGAGTGGGGTACTGATTTCGTGAGTAATGTTTAAACTTCCTGCATGAAGTGAAAAATCAAACCTGTTCATCGCAGTCAGACTCCAGGTAGGACGAGTCTTTGATCAAACAGTTGTCGAAGCCGCAGTCGTCGCTCTCGTTGAGGCACTCGCAACCGGCTTTGTTCACAAAAGGCATGAGGTCCATCTGAAACACAGCAGTGGAGGCAAACTCATTTATTCAGTTCAAACTTCGTGTACTGCTCGATATTTATGGATATTTATTTACATACACATTTATTTAACCCTTTCATTCATCTGTTGCAAAGCTTGCACGTGTTTTCACACAGAGTTGGGCTATTTATGGTATTTTTCTATCATTTTTTACTGAATCAGAGAGTATTACTGTCGAATCAGTGCTTACATTGGTTTAGTACAGAGTATGGCTGGATGATGTTTAGTTTTTGAAACGTATGAGTGGATTATCAAGATAAGATTAGACAGTATTATTAATGGTGACATGATGTGCTGGTGAATCACCTAAACACTAACTCAAACTTTAAAGGTACATCTTAACTTATAATGTCATAAGTGGCAACAGGTGACAAAGTTCAGCCGCTGTGAAGAAAGAAAGCTGACAAAACAATGCTTTTTATCACAGATAACAGTTTGTTGGTCTGTTTTTGTGTGGACTTTGTATTTTATAACTTTATCTTTTATTCAAACTTAACTATTAAACACAGAAGTTACACATTAAGACAAAATAATTAACTTGTTTAGGGAGCAGTAGACGAAACAGCTCCTGTGTTAGGTGAGGTAAAACACACATTTTTGTCAATAGTCTGGTGGTTTAGCAGTGACTTCAGTTCCTTGTTGGAAAGAGCTGCCAGCACTGGAAATAGTGAAAATGTTATGCTGTCTGCTTGGGGGCGTGGCCCACTGCCATCTACCACAAATAACACACCATCACTGATGAGAACCCTCAGTAAAGCCTAAAGGGTACTAAAAAATGTAAGAATGTCTTATTGGGTTTGATGAAAATTGACATAAGAACTATTAAATATGAACTTTAATGGCATTTTATTTTAACTAAAGTTCATTTTTAAAAAACGATGCTATCCGACATGCTGCTTTTCTAAATAATACCACAATGAATATATATCTTACACTAAAAAAATACAGAAATATGGGACAACTGGATTGACTCA